ATGTGGTGCTGGGGGATTGAACCTCGGTCCCTGTGCTTTGCTAAGCTTGTTCTAAGTAGGTGCTTTAGACCACTGAGCCATCTCACCAGCCCCAGCCCCACTATCTTTTTTTTTTTTTCCAGAACCGGGGATTGAACTCAGGCCCTTGTGTTTACCAGGGAAGCACTTAGTCCACTGAGCCATCTCCCCGGCACCACTATCTTAATAGCTATAACATAGTTCGAATGGTAGACAAATAGATCAAGAAACAAAGATCCATTAATAATGTGTATCAAGCATCCACATAAACCGTCTGTGTTTGACACTTAAGATGAGTCAGCACAGCACAAACGCGCTTAGAACCTTCCAACGGTTGCCCATCACATTTAGAATGAAATCCTTGCATCTGTGGGCTTCACGTTTCATGATCTGACCTCAGCCTACTTTCCCCACTTTCCCCTCACTCTTCGTGACCCCGAAGCATGCTGCATTTCTGTCTTCCAACCTGCGCATGTACTGTGTCCTCCACCTAGGACGCTGTTTCCCCAAATGCTCCCTCTGGCTGGTGTCAGCCCCACGTTACAGCCTGAGAAGCCTCACCCTACCTCCCTAAAGTTATTTTGCACTCACTCACTGCCTTTACCCTATTTTATCTTCTCCATGGCTCTTATCATTTTTTTGTAATAATCTTGTTTGTTGTGACACATTTATTTGTTTACCTCCCAAACACTAGATAACAAGCTCCAGGGCAGTGAGGCACTTATTTGTTTTGTCTTGCAATACTTAAAAATAGTTCCTGCCACATATTGCTCAATAAACTTTTTTTTTTTTTTTTTTTTGGTGGAACCAGGGATTGAACTCAGGCCCTTGCCCTTGCCAGGCAAGTGCTTATTCCACTGAGCTATCACCCCAGGCCCACGTTATAGCCTGAGAAGCCTCATCCTACCTTCCTAAAGTTACTTTGCACTCACTCACTGCCTTTACCCTATTTTATCTTCTCCATGGAATTTATCATTTTTTTGTAATTATCTTGTTTGTTGTGACACACTTATTTACCTCCCAAACACTAGATAATAAGCTCAAGGGGGCCTCTTATTTGTTTTGCCTTACAGCACTTAAAATAGTGCACACCACATATTGCATATATATATCTTCATTCCTTCTTCTTGGGGGAGGGTCTTTTTGAGACAGGTTCTTGCTATGCAGTTCAGGCTGGTCTTGAGCTCACTTTGTAGCCCAGGATAGTCTTGAACTTGTGATGATCCTCGTGCCTCAGCCTCCAGAGTGCTGGGATTACAGACCTGCACCACCATTCACAGCTGTCATTAGGGGTATTTAATGCCAGGCCCTGGGGAGGCAGTGGTGAACAAATATTGGGTCCCTGGAACTGACAATCAATAGTTGCGGGGCTCTGTAAGTATGCAGAGGCATTCAATGAGTAAGCCCACAGATGAGTTTCACATTACAAATAACAGAAGCTTTGAAGGAAAAGTACAGTGTTCTAGGAGAGGAGAAACTTGATTTAGATTTAGGAGTTTGAGTCTTTTACAGAAACTCAAGCTGAAGGGCCGGGGAGATAGCTCAGTAGAATAAGCATCTGCCTAGCAAGCGCAGGGTCCTGAGTTCAATCCCCAGTACTGCAACGAAACAAAACAACCCCCAAAACTCAAGCTGAATAAGAGTGATCAGGCCAGCTGGGGATATTGTGAATGGGCAAGAGCTTGCCTAGCTCAGACCCTGGGTTGGATCTCCAACACAGCAAAATGGAAAGAAAAGGAAGGGAAGCGAAGGGACATCAGGCTGAGTGAATGGGGGAGGGTCTTTTTAAGCAGAAAGCAGAATAAGGAAAGAATCCATCAGATTTATGGAAAGGTGTCATTAACTTTGAGCAAAATGCTTGTGCTTTTGTTCAGGGATATAACACCAGAAATGTACGATGAAACCCTCCGTCTAAATTGCATATCTGTGCTTTCTTGAAGTGCAGCCCCTACACCATCATTTCTAGTGCCAATGTTTTTCATGCTCCAGCTCAGCAGCATTATTCAACTTAGGATCTGGGGTATGTGTCTGACTGTGCTCCCTCACCTAACTTCGGGATCACTGCCAAAGATGGGGCTTTCTAGAACATTTTAATCTCTTAATATTTGCACAAAGAAACGTAGGCTTTTTACAAATAGCTGTACATATCTATCTTATTTTATTTTTATTTATTTATTTTTTTGTGGAACTGGGGATTGAACTCAAACCCTCGCGCTTGCTAGGGAAGC